TGATGCTCCCAAACCCTAAAAATCGGGTATAAAAACAGAATGGGGAGGCTACGGTTGCCCATCCTCAGCCTCTTTCACTCTCAAGTCACTGAAAACCCTAAATTTGATCCTTTTGAGCCCTTGAGCCATTGTTGGAGGTTTTGGTGTTAATGGTGTTTTGTTTTCTTTGAAGAAGAAGAAGAAGCTCTTGGGGTGACTCATTTATCAAGATAAGCTCATCTTTGTGGACTAGCTGAACTTGTGAGCTCCAATAAGGTATAAAGATCCTACCTTTTTCACTTAAGGTTGCCAGATCTAGGTTTTGGCTACCTTCTTTGCATGAGATCTTGGCTTATCAAGCATGAGGTCCATAAAGTTAGCAAATTTATGAACCATTGAGTCATTTTCTGTATTAGAACCCCTGGATCTGGACTTTGGTGCAAGTTATGCCTCCAAGCTTGAATCTTTATGATTATATCAACTTTTGACCTAGCTAGTGATTAAGTCATGCATTGGACATGCATGGCTGAAAAGATATGATTTTTATGGTCTTTTAGACTAAATAAGGTATTCTGGAAAGTCCCAACGATCATATTAAAAGATTAAGAGCTTAATGCTCACAGAACAGTTCTCACGACGTGAGGGGTATAGCCTCACGACATGAGCACGACGATTTCCCCAATCTGAGACCCTGAGACGAGTGAACCGGGTTGAGTTGCTGTATCGACCCATGTCGAGTTGACTCTCACGACGTGAGACGAGGAAGCTCACGACGTGGGGACAGAAGGATAAGGAAGGTTGGGCCATTTCCTTGGACTATGCTACTATGGGCCTATTGGATTATTCTTTTGGGGCTGGTATTGGACTAAATCACTTGTTAGGCTTGATGAAGGGTCCATTCTAGGAGTTGGGCCCAATTTAGAAAATTGGGCCATAAGTAGGCCATTAGTGGGCTTGGGCCAAGCCATAAAGAATTGGGCTTCATGCTATGGACTTGGGCCTAGGTCATGGACCAAACTAGATTAGGGGTAAAATGGTCATTTTACCCTAAGAAGGATTATTGGATTTTGACTAAGTATTAATTGTGATAATGATAGTCGGGTAGTCGCGGAAGCAGCTGTTAGAGATTCCTTACCGAGAGATTTAGTTTTCAACTTTGCGAGGTGAGTTACCTTTAGTAGGAACGGGTCTACGACACCAAGGTCGGCCCGTATATGCGATATGTTAGTAGCTGAGTGTGGGCGAGGCCCGAATCTCATAGTAGCCGAGTGTGGACGGGGCCCGATTCTCGTAGTATTATTTTGAGTATGGATATGTGACTGCTTGATAGAAATAGATATACTTGTTGTCTGTGTGATACTTGTATGTATGTTAGTAGCGGAGAGTGGGTGGGGCCCGAATCTCCTAGACAACGGAGTGTGGGCGGGGCCCGAATCTCCTAGACAGCGGAGTGTGGGCGGGGCCCATATCTCCTAGTTGCATCTTATGTGTATGGTATGTGGTAGTTTGGGAGACTCACTAAGCTTCGTGCTTACAATTTTCAGTTTTGGTTTCAGGTACTTCCACTAGCAAGGGGAAGAGCTCGGGATGATTGCATGACACACACCACAACTTTTAGCCTGGGATGTTTAGACTCTGATGCCCCGACCCAAATTTTACCGCGAGGCATCTCTTGGTCATATGAGGTTTCAATGTCAAATTTCCATCTTCATTGAAAAAAACACCACATTTCTTTCATCGCACTTTTCTTGGATCGCTCGACATTACACACAAATCAAAATTTCCCCAAATAGCCGGATTTCTACTTGTTTCTTTGATGCTAACAACGGTTACGTGAAGCCCTGAGAGAGAGAGAGAGAGAGAGAGAGAGAAGTTGGTGGTGAATCGGCGTCGAAATCATCGGCTTATACTTGATCGAAGGATCAAATGGCAAGAGGAGTTGCTGTCAGAGAGCCTCATCACCCTTGCCGGAGTCTCATTCGCTTGAGCAAAAAACATTGTTATGCCTCAATATCTTCTCTGTTTATATGCAGAGTTTGGAGAGATAAGGGGATACAAAAGAACCATGGAAGAGAACGTGGGAAAAAGAAGGGGGAAAATTACAGGTCCGTTGAAAATCATACATTTGCAGCAAGGATGTTTTCTGTGAAAAAGGACGAACGTGGTAGGGAGAAGTGGAATCTGAAGATATATTGGGGAGGTTAAAGACGTAACGTGGAGAATACCACCGACTTCTCAACATGGACCAAATAACTGTAAAAAAACTGTAAATAGGGAGTTTATGCGGCTAAAATCAAAAGTTGAAGAGATCTAAGGGCTGTAAATCATCAGACGGTCATCGTGACCCGAGCTTAGTAATAATAATAACTAGTAAAGAACCCGCGGCTATGCCGCTTTTGGAGTAATATGAAAAAAATCGGTAAATTTTAAAAGATATGTGTTGAAATTGTAAATCACCACAAATAAGGGAGTAAGTTGACACCCCCTAAATTTTGTACAACCAAAAAAAGGGACACTGGTGGAGAAAATCCAAAAATGTTGTGACAATAATGTTAAAGTTGTCAAAGTTGGGAAAATATGGTGGCAAAATTCTAAAGGAAGTTTTTTGTGTTTTTTATGTCAAAATGTAAAAGTTTTGACTACAATGATGAAAAGTGTCAAATTCATTAAAGATTTGTGGCAAAAACACCAAAATGTAAAACTTTTCATTGCAAGGACTAAAAATGTCAAAGTCACTAAAGATTTGTGGCAAAAACCTAAAGACGCAAAAACTTAATCAAAACATAAAAATGTAAAAGTTTTGACTTTAAGGACTAAAAGTGTCAAATTCACTAAATTCTTGTGTCGAAAACCTAAAGGTAAAAAAAAATACTATTGCTAAGCTCCCTTGGATTTAATATCATATCATACATACTTATAAAGCTAGCATTTTTTCTTGAATCTCATGCATTTGAAACCCCCTTTTTTAATTTCCTCAAACCACATTCATTTGAAACCCCCTTTTTTAACTAATGCAACTCAAAAGTTTTCTTAATTATGATTTAACACTCAAAAGTTTTATAACTTATATTATGTTTAATTAGAATTTAGTGAAAAGTTTACTATAAAAAGGTCGATCTTTTGTGTCTTTTGTGTTATATAAAATCTTACATGTAAGAAGGATTTCAAGATATTATGATTCAAAAGTTTTCATATAGTTGAAGCATTCACGATCCAAATATGATGATTTGAAGAAATGGGTTATTTCGCATCGATGGTAATTGTAATATGATTTTTTCTTTCAACCAAAAAAAATGAAGCTTTTTCTATTCTTTCTTTATATTTAGTTTCTCATTTAATTTTTATATGTGATTTGTGTGTATTACTCAATCTTGAATGTAAGTCTCCAAACATCAATGTTTTGCTTGGAATATATTTTTGATTCTTCTTTTTCAAGAAAAATATTTTGATTGTAGGTTAGTGAAGAATTGTCATCAAGTTTCTATGGTTGAATGGTGTTAAATGAAGAAAGAAGATTCATAAAATGGATATAAGTTTTTTTGTTTGAGCAAAGTCGACGAATGTTAGTTTTTTCTTTTGATTTAAATGTATGTTTATGTAACATCTTTATTTATATATTCAACCACCCAATGCTCTTATTTATTTAATTGTAGTTTTTCTTTTTTGATTATGTTTATTTTCTATTATTTTTTTGTTCGGTTATCCTACACAACATATTTAAAAGACAATATTTAAAAGATAACATAATTTTGAACATTTGATATGTAATTATGATAGAATTATCATGATATGTTCTTCATATGAAAGTAATTTATCCATATTACTACGACAAGAATTACATATGACATTTTCGAATATATATATATATATATATATATATATATATATATATATATATATTATATGTGATTTGTTTAACATGTATATGCACCTATGTATGTTATATATTTATAATTAAATATCTTTATGTTTAATAATTGAAGGGATTAAAATGATGCATCAAAACCGCATTCATTTGAAACTCACACTACAACTCAAGAGTTTTCTAATTTATGTATATTTATTAGTTACAACTCAAGAGTTTTTAACTTATGATTATTAATTAGTAATCACTAATAACTTTTAATTTCCTTTCTTTTATAAGGTTGTAAAGTTTTGCTCATTAAAAACATTAATGTATTTGAAGAGATTTGTGATTTAAATATGAAGAGTTAATATAAATGTTATAATAGATGTTTTAGTGTTTTTATGTTATTAAAAGTTATAGTGTTTATTTTTCATATTTTTTTTATTCGTTGTATATATATCTTTTTAATACAAATGTCATAATAGATGTTTTTCTATTTTTATGTTACTAAAAGTTGCAGTTCATATTTTTGTTCATACGTTTTGTTACCCGTTATATTATCATTCATTTGATATATAATTTACACAATTTTAAACGGTTTATAAAATTATCAAATAATTGTATATATCACAATGACTTAAAAATTAAATTATAATGTTTAATAAAACTAATATGTTAACTATATGTTTGGTTTATTACTAACATTTTGTTTCAAAGTAGAAATATTAAATAATAATTTGGTAAAAGTTATTATTTTAACTATAGAATTCTATTCTCACGCAACACGCGAGGATTCGCCTGGTATATATATATAATTGTAACAAAAAAAAAATCAAACAGAAGGCAAAGCCTCTGTTATGTTCCACGACAGGAACTCAGGAAGGGCGGCAAGGAGCGAAAAAAAATAATAAATTCAAGCACTCATTTTCATCTTCAAATTTCAATTTTGTTCTTCCTCTTTACTTTGATTTTGAGCTTCCTATCTCCTCCAAGTCTTCAAGCCTATTTTGAGAGGTTTTTTTCAAACCCTAAGATGAAGCAAGTTCGTTTTTTCTCTTTTATTAGGAGGTGAAATTAATTGTTGCTGCTGTGTCGCTGCTGCTGTGTCGACAAACATATAGCTATTACTGAATTGTTTGCAAGGACTAGGGTTTACATTTCAAAGACTTTGCAAATGCATTGCATCAACCCATGTTTTAGCGACGTTAGTTCACTATCCGCCAATTGCTTTTCTCTGCAACGTGGATTACGCGTATCAGGTATTTTTTTCCTATTTCTTAACTGAAATTTGTGTTAAATTGTGTTCTTGAATTTATATGAATTAAGCTCGAATTTATATGACGAAGATCAAATTTTTAGTCCAAAATAGAAGAGCATTTTCATAATAAAAAAATGTTGAAGATTACTCATAAGTTGTCAGCTTTCCATTGATTGGGAAAACCGAATATGATTAGGATTTGCTGACTTCTGCGATCAAAATAAACTGATTATTAAACATAATTCTAAAATTATCCAACTATTTAGTCTAAATCAAATGGTTATCTTATTCTTATGGGTATAATATGTAATTCCTTTTCTCTGATGAACAGGCAGACATGCACATAGCCTCCAGTTATGGCATGTATCATATGATAGAAAAAGATTTTCCCTCAAGACTACAAATTCAGAACTTTACAAAAGACATTTTGTAATTTTAGCAAAACCTTTTCATTCACCAATGTTGATATACAATGAGCGCAAAAGAAGCCATATGAGAATCCATTCAGCATCTGCAGAGTCTCTAAGTCATGAACTTATGGAAGAAAGTTGTGAACACAAGTTTGAAGTTAGTTCATATAATCATGAGAATTCACAAGCAAAACCCAAATATGAAAACATATTCCTTATTTTTGCACGCGTAGGTTCAGTCATGAATAATGCAGCTGAATCATTTTTCAAGAGTGAGATAAGAAGGAGATTATTTGTTACTGCTGCATTACTTGTGATTAGTCGTGTTGGATATTTCATTCCTCTTCCTGGTTTTGATAGAAGATTAGTACCAGAGAATTACCTTAGTTTTGTCTCGGGTTCAGTTGGTATGTTAATTTTAATTTTAATTTTCTTTTCTGTTTCTTCCTGTACTTATAAGTTCATTCAATTGTCTTAAATGGCAGAGGAGCTTGATGAGCTGGCACCCGAACTAAAGCTTTCCCTATTCCAACTTGGAATCAGTCCCCAAATTGCAACATCTATTGTTATGCAGGTTGATTGTGATTGAAACTGAATTTGATTTCATATATTTAAGCTAATCATATGGTGATTGTGGACTCAGGTACTTTGTTATGTTCTTCCTTCATTGGTCAAGCTTCGGAAAGAAGGGTTGGATGCTAATGAGAAAATAAAGGGTTATATGTATGTATGTTTACTCTTATTCTCAAATTTGTTTATTATATGGTTATACAAGTTTAATAATCCCATGTTTTTCTTACTTTATTCCAGATGGTGGATGTCGTTAGGGTTTGCAACAGTGGAGGCACTTATCATTTCTTATTTTTCACTTTCGTATTCGATTTATGCAGCAAATGCGAGTCAAAGGTAATTTCTAGTATCAATTTATTTTCATATTATTATTTATTAAAGAAACAGGAGGTCTGATATGATATTATTATTTATTAAATCAAGCTGCAATACTATGGCTTCAAACTTGCATCTTCAACAAGGTCAATCACATCTCCATTCCACTTTTTAGATATTGTTTTTACTACAAGTACAATTAAAAAAAAGATTACTAATTTGTGAAATATTTATGTTGTGGACAGAGAAGAGTCCCCAGTTACAGAGGTGGAGCAATATATTCCATTCAATATTAATCCATCTTGAATACAACCTGTCCTCACTACCAGCTACCTGTTAGGCTTTCCTGCTATTGTTGCAAGGTATCCATAACACAAACCTTTTCACCTTAAATTATATTTATATTATGTGTTTTGTTGCATAATTAATTAATTAACTAAAATCTCAGGTGGCTTGCTGTTGAGTATATTGGCCACATCATCAACAATTCTTGATCATTATTTGCGAAAAACGAATGAAGGATTTTCAATTGGGTTTACATCTGTTCTAATCATTGTAAGTCTTATTATATACTTCCACACTTTGTTTATGCAAAATGAAAGAAAAGACTTGACATGTTTGTTGTTCACTTGGTGCGTGCAGGTGGGTTCAATCATTGAACTAAAACAAAGTTTCACGTATATATGTATTGTTGTCATCGACCATATTATTATTCTTCTTTTTTATGTTTTGGGGGAAGTTTTGATTATATGATTGATTTTCTTGTGCATAAATAATAATAATAATAATTGATTTACTTAAATTAACTAGGAATTATAAGTCCAGGGTCCGTTTTGCTATTTTCTGAAACTATAATGTTAAGAGAATCAAGAGTGAGGGGTGTTTTTTGCCAATTCACCAAACATTCGAGGGCTAAAAACTGTCATATTTTGATTTTTGTGTCTTCTACTCCCCTGCAATCGACGCGGGAGACTTGCCTTCTTACCATTTTTGAGCCTACCAGTTAGATGATTCCTGCCATTCTCGATTATTTCCGCCTTTAAGGAGTCAAACACCTTCCCTTTTCTCCCCTAAAAACCGTGAGGAATTAAAGAGAGGGTGTGGGTGGAGGGTGTGTGTGTGTGTTTTGCATGCGACTAGAATCAAGAGAGGGAGAGAAGCTGAGAGAGTGTGAGAACGAGGAAGAGTCCATGGATGCTCATACAAGCGATGTTGATCGAGAAGTGGTATCGCAAGAGATAAGAAGAAAATGGATTTCAAGTTGATAGTCAAGGATTTTCGGATTTGTGTGTGGAAAAGATTTCCAGCAAGGTTGTCAAGATCGGGATCCTACCTAGGATCGTTTTTGGGTTTGCAAGATCGGGATCGGGATCCTAAGATCCCACTAAATAAAATATAATTTTAATTTATAATTTTTAATCATGAAAAATATTCAAACATTTAATTTTTCGTTCAAAAGTTATAAAAACTTCAAAATATTAGTCATAAGCCACAATACAAAATGATAAATGGTAAATTGGTAAAGGGTAAAAGACATAAAGTGGTAAAAAAATTTCATTTGCAAAAAAAAAAATAATAAAAAAAAATAAAAAAAAATAAAAAATAAAAAAATCAAGGGAAGGTAGGATCGGATCTCGATCCTACGATTCTACCTGCGATCCTACCCCAAATACGATCCTTTTACGATCCGGATCGTTTTTCATACCTAGGATCGTAGGATCGTACGATCCTACGATCATGATCACGATTTTGACAACCATGATTTCCAGCAACCCACTTGTTTTTCCATTTGATCTGTGACGCTCCATTAGTTGTACTTTTCTATTATTTCTCGATGTGTTTACCCGATGGAGAGTAATCCGGTGCAAGGATGTTTGGATGTCGAGGTTCTCCTGTGACTCGTTTCACAGCTGTCCGAGCGAGGTTCCAGCCTCCGGCGACCAGGAAGGAAGGAAAGAGATCGGTAAGTGGCCATGGGAGTAGGTCTAGGGGCAGTCCAAGGAGAAACGCCAGGGCTATTGGAGTTGTGCCTTCGATGAGCAGGAGTATTGCAAGGGTGATGACTCGATGGATCCTTCCCTTTGTTGGACTTAGCCAATTTGGGCTTAACCATTTCATATTGGATAAATTTGAGATTAGGCCATCTATGAATAAATTAAATCAAGTGTTAGCAAGCGATGGTTATTTATGAATAATATTGTTTAGTCATTTAAATGAAGTTTAGGCCAAGCTAAGGCATCCTTAAATTTTGCCCAATAAACTTATGTATAACGGTTTAAATGGTCCCTTGAAAGTTTTTTTTTTTTTTTTTTTTTTTTTTTTTTTTTTTTTTTTTTGCTTTTTAAGGGCATGTACTTCTGTTTACTAGTTTTAAAAGGGCACTTTTGTAAATATGAAGTGGTCACCCGGTGACACCCATCCCACGTAGCATTTTTTCAATTCCAAGTAATATCCAATTAGATTAATTAAGTTAACGTCATTGCCACGTGTATATGAGTTAATGAGATATATTGTACGTTTTAAATCCCTTAACTGTCTCTTTTGAACTCTTTCTTCTGTAACATCCTCATCCAAATCTTTTGTTCAACTGTTCTTCGGTCCTACCCTTTTCTTCAACTGTTTGTCGCTCAAATCGGCGAAATTTGTCGTTGCTATGGTCGTTTTCATGAAGATTGATCTACATTTTGCCGAAATTTTTACCAAGTACCCCGCTATTACTTACTTAGATGGAGCCGAGAAAAGGTTTGATGATGTTGATTTTGCTGGAATGACAAGAACGAATTTGTGGAGTTCACAGATTCGTTGTTGAGAGATGTGTGAATGTGTAATTTTGCATGCCCAATATTGACTTTCCTGATGGATTGAGGATAATCGCCACCAACATGGATTACATGTAACTAATCGAAGTAGGGTATGCTTCTGATTGTATAATTGATGTATACATGGACCATCTTGGTGTTAATGTACATCAATGGATTCTTGAAGAGCAAGCATACATTTGTAGTTCTTTAGACGAATTGTCTGGTGCAAATGAAGTTCATGAAGAAGTGCAAAGTCATATGGATATTGATGATGGAATCGACATGCAGGATTTACATGGTGGTGGGGATGATATCCAAGGTGCAAGGGAGGATTTGCAAGGTGAGCAAGATGATGACATTCACATGGAAGTGGACACTGAACCTGATAAGTGCATTCATATGAATAAGAAAAAAGATGATGAGTTTCTGAGTAAGTTGTGCCCAAAGGAGCAAGTCACCCCCCACAGTCCACCTCATGAAGAGCCATATGATCATTTACATGAGGATGATGTAATATCTACTGACCAAGCTATTTATAATGAGAATGTTCATTGGAAAAAGCAGAAGCCTGCATTAGGTATGAGATTTGTGAGTCCTAAACAACTGAAACATATGATGTTTAACTATATTGTAGCAAATGGTTATCAGTTATGTTATAAAAAATGATAGGAGACTATTAGTGAATGTTGTTCTGGGCAGTGCATGTTTAAAATGTGGGCTTCTTGGATGAGTGAGGAAAAGTCTTTCCAGATTAAAAGTCTCATAAATGAGCATAACTATGCAAATAACTTCAAGTTACATTCAATTGTGAACTATTCGTGGATATATACTCATTACACAACACAATTCTTACATAAACAAAAGGTTAGTGTCAGGCTACTTAGGGATGAGGTTAAAGAGAAATTTGGTATAGATGTGAGTAGGGGAAAGTGTAGAAGAGCAAAGAAGTATGCAATTGAACTGACTGAAGGAACACTAGCGGAACACTACACAAATCTTTGGTCATATGGTGAGGGGATTAGAAGATCAAATCCAGGATCAACAATCAAAATGGATGTGAATTCTATGCCAGATGGTAAGAATTATTTTAGCAAGTTTTACTTGTATTTTTATGGGCTAAAGCAAGGGTGGAGAGGGAGTTGCAGAAGGGTTATAAATTTAGATGGATGCTTCTTAAAGGGTTATGTACTGGAGAGATAATATGTGTTGTAGGAAGGGAAGCCAATAATCACATATTCCCAGTTACATGGGCAGTTGTCTGTGTAGAAAACAAAGAAAATTGGAAATGGTTTTTGGAAAACCTTAGAAATGATCTTGAACTGGATAATGGTTTTGGTATAACATTGATGTCGGATCAACATAAGGTATGTTCTTTACTTCCTACTTTTAAATATTGTACTTGGTGGTTTCATTTTATCTAACATGTTACCATTGTTTTATAGGGGCTGTTAGAGGCTGTCAAAGAAGTATTGCCTACTGCTGAACATAGGCAGTGTGCAAGGCATATTGTTGCCAACTTTAGGAAAATATTCATGGGTTTACACTATGAGACCATGTTTTGAATGACAAGCAAGGTATCCACTAAACCTTTATTTAATGCTATCATGGAGGAGATTGAAGTGCTTAACCCTGCAGCCTTTGCTTATCTTATGGAAACAAACCCCAAATCTTGGAGTAGAGCATTATTTCGAGAGGGAATGATGTATGATGCAGTGGGGAACAGATTATCTGAGAGCTTCAACAGTTTCATCAGGGATGCAAGGAAAAAGCCAACCATCACCATGTTAGAGGAGATTATTGTTGAGTATATGGGTTGCACCATTGGGCTTAGTTAGTTCGGTCCATATGTATTCACGGTTTGGGCCTGTCCAACCGTGTATTGTTTTTAGGGTTTAGTATATATAGTACATGCATGCATTATATTAATGATGCTTCTTGAATATTTTCTTAAATAGTACTGTAACCCTAGCATGCCTCTAAAGTATAAGTTCTTCATCGAGCTCTTCTGAGGTGTTGTTGTTTTTAATCATTCGACATTCGTTTGATTCATTGTGTTCGTTATTTGGTTTACTTTTTGTTTTATTTGTTAAGAATCTTATCGATCTTAAAAGAGTTTTTCATCTCATCAATTGGTATCAGAGCCAGTGGCAAGGGTTCTATTCTCTCAGGGAGCAATTTCTGAGGGGGGATTGTTGGGGGTCAGAAATGACATCGACCAAGTCCTCACACGATGGCCTGGAGTGCCGCAATAGAATGCCTGGTCCTGGAGGGTTGAACGCTCTATATGGGTAAGGTTGCGCCCTTTCTAACACCAATTGGTTTTAGATCAACCGGTAGCGCTGATGCTCATCAATTGGTATCAGAGCGGGAGGCTGTGTAAATCACACACATCTATTATGTTTGAAGAATTTTCTTAGGGTTTCCGCTTTTATTGGATCTGTTAAGCCGTCATTCCTTCATTGACGTTGTTCATGATGGGTTATGAGCACTACATCATTCCTATGGTGTACATGCAAACCCTAAAGCTTTGGATCTAGTTTGTCTAATGAACATGCAATAATCATCCAAAGCCATAAACCCTAGATCTAACATGTGATAATCAAATAACATATGAATTAGGGTTTAGATCTTACCTTGATTGTTATGTAGCAATAACAATCTATTCCTTCTTGTAATTTGGCTTCTAAAAGCTTAGAGTCACCAATGTCACTCCTTTAATGGCTCACAAACACCAAAAGCAAGAGGATGAAGAAGTAGAAGAGGAGAGGCACTAAAAAACGACTAGAAACCCTAAGGAAACTCTTAGCCACGTTTTTGGTGCCCTAGGGGTCTTTAAATAGTGAGGCTATTAGGGTTATCTAACAAGGAAACCCTAATTTGACTGCTTAGGCACTAAGCAGGCCATGGACTCCCTCCTTAGAGGCCTTGGACGATTTCTAATGGGTTTCCCCA